CACACACACACACACACACACACTTTGCTCTTATTCTGAATTATACAATCTGTTGCATATGCCACATCCAGCTACTGGGAAGGCTGAGACTGGAGTTTGAGCCCAGCCGTGGCAATTTAGTGAGACCCTAAAATAAAAAAAAAGTAAAGGAGCTGGAACTGTAGCTCTGTATAAAGGCCCTGAGATCAAGCAAAAGCAAAAAAGTTTTCTTCAAAGGTTTGATAATCTTTGTCTAACTTCATATTCAGAATGCAGCAGTGGGTAATGTAATTAGGATCTTTATGTAATTGACCATGTAATTCTTTGGCTGCAAAATATCTCTGAAGCTAGTGTTCTAGAGAAAATGATTCATTAAACATTGTTTTAGAATAAGCCGGGTAATCCTGCAGTCAGAGGCTGAAGCAGGAGCATTTTTGTGAGTTCAAGAGCAGGCTGAGCTACAAAGTAAGCTCAAGGCCATCCAGAACTGCATAGCGAGACCCTGTCTCAAAAAGACAAATAATAATGATGTCTATTACAGTCTACGGATAATCTCATTCTCTGTCATAGCTCAGGACTCCAGGTCAGCCATCTTGGGAATCTGAAATTGGATCACAGGTGACACTGAATCAGCCCATTGATGGGCTCAGCCTAGTTCCGGGGGTGGAGAGAGTGGGCTGCTTGAAGAGGGAAGACCCACCCTGGAGCAGGTGGCACTAGCCAACAGTCCTGCAGCCTGGATGGGCTAGAAAGGGAATGAAGAGTGGCTGCTTCCTGCCCACCCTGCCACAGACTGCTTCTCCTCCGCTGTGCCCTCTGCCGTGGGGGACCTAGAGCCAGCCAACTATGGACTGAAGCGCACACAAACTGGGCTATAGCAAACCTTTCCACCTTTAACTTGGGGTTATATTTTTTCCCTAACAATAAGAAAGTAACTAAGGCACTGACTTATTAACATCTGCCTGGAAACTCCCTACTTTTAAACTGTGGTTGCCCAAATGCTTCCTGATTAAGCTTCAGCTTTGTTACTGTGTATTACGTCAGCCTTTAGTGGGCAGCTAATTCACTCTAGGAGTCTCATTCACACAGGGCAGCAGGCAGCATCTCTGTTTTGAAAATACCAACTCTCCACTCCTGATGCAACGTGCCACCCTCCTGCAGGCTCCATACCTCCTGGCACACTCAATTCTTTGTTTCTTCAAGCCACATTAGCCACATTTTGCTAAAATTACCACTTTCTTAGGGGGTCCTACGTAAAGGCACTATGGAGTCTGCTGAGAAACTGCATTGGCATAAAGATTCAGGGAATTCATCTGTACTTCAAAATAAATGAATCCAAACCAGGCGCATGAGCATTTCAGGCCAGCCCAGAAACAAAATTCACCGTACTTAACCCACAGTGTAGGCTTACCCGCTGAAAAGAAACAAAGCTCACGCGGCTTTAAGAGCCAGTCCTACCCTTTCAGCTTTGAGAACGGAACCGAGGAGTTTCCTCAGGCTTTCACTCGAGCTGGCATTTTAGAGCTAGCCTAGCACTGGGTCAAAACGGCCCAAGATGGTGGAGGAATTTTTTTTTTTTTAATCAATGGATAGGCAACAGAATTGTCCTTGGTATTCCCAATTTATAATACACTCTTGCCAAAGAAGGGCCTCTGGCCTCCAGTCCGTACCGTGGGGCTGCCCGTGGGCTTCGGATTCCAGACCAGCTCTGCTCTTTACTACCATGCAGCCAGCCTCAGCTCCAGTCAGCCTCGATCATGGCGAACAGCTGGCTACGCCTTTTCTGAAGGTCAGACTCGCTGGGGACCCGACAGGCCTTCGTGTGCACCCTGACATGCTCCACCAGCTTGGACTTATAGAGGAAGCCCTTCCCGCAGTCCGCACAGGAAAAGGGCCTCTCTGGCCTGTGGATGCGCTGATGCCTCCGCATGTGTCCCCTCTCCCGAAAGTTCTTGTCACACTCGGGGCAGCGGAAGGGCCTCTCGCCCGTGTGCAGGCCCTGGTGGCTGAGCAGTTGCGCCTTCAGGCGGAAGCGCTTATCACACGCGGGGCACTGGAAGGGCTTCTCTCCGGTGTGCGTGCGGATGTGCTCGGTGAGCTTCGACTGCTTGGCGAAGCCCTTGCCGCACGCGCAGGAGAAGGGCATCTCCCCGCGGTGCTGCAGCTGGTGCGCCTTCAGGATGCCCTTGAGGCGGAAGCACTTGCCGCACTCGGGGCAGCGGAAGGGCCGCTCGCCGCTGTGCACACGCAAGTGCTCGGTGAGCTTGGACTGGCGTGCAAAGCCCTTGGCACACTGCGGGCATGCGAAGGGTCGCTCGGCGCTGTGAGTGCGCTGGTGCGCCTTCAGGATGCCCTTGAGGCGGAAGCACTTGCCGCACTCGGGGCACGAGAAGGGCCGCTCCCCGCTGTGCACACGTAGGTGCTCATGGAGCTTGCAGCGGTGCACAAAACCCCGGCCACACACGCCGCAGGAGAACGGCTGCGCCCCGCAGTGGCCCCGTGTGTGGGTGCTCAGTGTGCTCCGCAGGCCGAAGCTCCTGCCGCCCGGGGTGCGTGAGAAAGGCTGCTCTCCGGCACGGAGCTGTGTGTGCTCAACTAGCGCACACGGTGCGGCCAGGCCCTCGCTGCACTGCCGGGGGTGCAAAGGCTTCTCCCCCTCCTGCCCCAGCAGGAGCTGCTCCTGACGGAAGCACGGCTTGCACTGCGGGCACTGGAACGGGCTCCTGCTCACGTGGACACCCAGCTTTCTCTGCGAACAGCGCTGCAGGTGAAAGCTTTGCCCACACTCCCCGCCCTGCAGGTGCCCCTGGGCCCTCCGCAGCAGCTGTGCCTCCGCGCGCTTGTCCAACCTCTGCCATGTCCCGTCCCTAGGTGACAGGTCCTTGGAGTGGCTCCTCTGGTACCTTACTAAGGGGTTCTTCTCCCAGAAGCTCTCCCTGCAGGCAGGGCCAGGGTGCTGGATGCTTTTCCAGGAGGGGGCTTCCCTCAGGCCTGGGGCACTGTGGCCTGGGATCCCCTCTCTTTGGGCAGGGCTGGTGGTCACTGCAGCCAGGACCCGGGTGATTTGTCTCTTCAGGCTCACGGGGGTAAGGCCTGGGTCTGGCCTTTCTCCTAAGAGCTTGGATCCAAAGGAAGAGTGGCTCTGAAGAGCACCTAATGGGAAATGGCATTTAGGTTCTCTCCATTTCACAGCTTGCAGGTTTCCTGAAATCAAAAATAAAAATTCAGTTTGTCTGCCTTTCTATCCAATGACTAAAGATAGTCACCACAAAAGTGGTCTCTACCAGGGCGTGGCCTGTTTCCAGCAAACTCCCCAAGCTCGCAGCGTGCTTCTGTTGCATGTCAAAATTAATCTGGTGAGAGTCTCCTGAAAATAAGGCGAGCAGGCCTATCGCACAACACCAGAGAGGAAAGCACAGTGCCAGCACTCTGCCGTGAGCTCTGGCGTCACAGGCCTGGGCTCAGGTGCCGTGCGCTCACCGTGCAGCCTCTGTGGAACACAAGGCTTCTGGCTGCTCGTCCACACAGACAGGGCAGCAGCACACACGTAACTGCTGGCACTGCGAAGGCCTCCCACCAGACTAGCCTTGTTTTACGTAAGATGCACCTAGAGCCACAGGTATATCCCTCACAGGGCCCAAATACCGGCTCTGCCACCCGTGCTTCTAGGCCCTCTGCGACCAGGCAGCAAAGCTCAGCTCCAGTCCTCCCTACCCCCCTATTTCCAATTTTTAAAAAATTGTAATGAATGAACCTCAGATATATACTTGACCACTGAGCCCCACTCCATGCCTAATCAATGTTTTAACAAAACTTTCCGGAAAAAATCAATGGAATTTTTTTTTGTCTTTTTGAGACAGGGTCTCACTATGCAGCTCAGGCTGACCTTGAGCTCACTCTGTAGCCAGGCTGGTGTCGAACTCCCAAGGATCTTCCTGCCTCGGCCTCCCTTCCTGGGTGTGGGGATTATAGGTTGTGTACCACCATGCCTAGCAATTTTTCTTTTCTTTTTGCAGTACTGGGGATTGAATTCAGGACCCTGCGCTTACCAGGCAAGCACTTATTCTACTGATCTATCTCCCCAGGCCACCCAGCAATTTCTAAAAAAAAAAAAGGCAGCAAAGCCTCCCCAAATCCTTTCCTCTCTAGAAAGCAGCAGTTATACACAGACAAGATTTCTTAGGAGAATACTCATGTTGGACCTTTACATTCAATAATTTAATACCGAGTTTCAGGAACGCCAAAGTGTGAGACTCTCCCATCATGACAAGAAGCAGAAGGGGACAGTTGATGTTTGAATGTTCAGATAGATGATTATCACCAGATAAGAGAAGGCACTTCAGTCACAGAGGGCCAAACTGCCCCTGCTGCTGCTCTTTCCTACCCACTACCAAGAACAGCTTCCATCCTGAGTGCCGTGCACAGGGAACCCTGTAACACCGCACACATGAAGCCTGTTTAATCCTGCTGTGTCCCATCTTCCGTCTCTACTCCAGGAACTGAACACTGACAGGGACAATAAGCTGCCCAGCGTCACCCAGAAAGGCAGAATGGACACTTGTTCTGTAGAACCCACGTTCCTGCCTGCCTTGCTCCACTGGCTTTGTCTACAATCTCAGACACGAAGCCTCAGCCCTGCCGAACACGACGTCAAGATCAGAGGAGGGACACTAGGAATCTGATGTCCTGGTAGTAGACCCTCATTGCTTAGTACTTACCCCCAGCCAGCTGCCCCTCAATACCTGGAGCAAAATGCAGGTCAGCGGAGGAGAGAACCGTGTTTCCTGGGCACTGCGATGGTCCCCAGCTCCTGAAGGGCTCTCTCCCCTGCTCAATCCAGGAAATGAGCTCCGGTTTAGGAAGCGCGCCATCTGCACAGAGAAGTCCGATGGGACAGTTAGGTCTCCTCGGGCGCTATATTTAAAGGACATTAAGTAGTTTCTGAGTTTTCAAAGCCCATCTATCTCTAGGCCATTATTTGTCAACAAACAGGTTACAGGTTTATGGAAAGGGAAGTAGAACTGCCCAGCCACCTAACAGTACTTCCTCGTCCATCTGGGTCCCAGACTGGCTTTGCTATGGGACTGTAGCCCCCATGTTCCTAGTAATGTTGGACACCATCCAAAAGCAAAATGGCAAGGGCTTCAATATTCTTATTTATTTTTGTTTTGCAACAGGATCTGTCCTTCAGGCTGGCCTTGAACTCCCTATGATATAGCTCAGGTTGGCCACAGACTTGCATCGATCCCCTTTCTCAGCCTCCCTTGTGCTGGGATTACAGCTATGTGTCACCACATCTGGCTTTCAATGTTATTAATGTTCATTTAAGCCACATCTTCTGAGTAATATTTGATTTATTCAAGCTTTTTTAAATAATGTATTTAGTACAGGGTCTACAGGGTCTCACCACACAAATTAGACTTATAATGATCCTCCTGTTTTCAGCCTCCCAAGCTATGGGATTACAGGCATGCGCCACCCTGCCCTCATTCGCTGTCAAGGCCTTGCTGTGTAGCCCAGGCTGGCCTCAAACTCATGACGATCCTCCTGCCTCAGCCTCCCAAGTGCTGAGATTACAGGGGTGCACTAACATGTCCAGCCAGGGTAGGGTAGGGGACAGTTTTAAATGAAGTTAACTCAGGCAAAAATTATGTCCAACAGATTTTTAAAAATAATTTTTATTAAAAACATTTCTAATACATTCTCTGGCAAGCGCAAGGGCCTGAGTTCAATCCCCGGTTCTGCCAAAAAAAAAAAAAAAAAAAATTGCATAGATAAAAACATTTCTAATACAAAGAAAAGGAAAACAATATACAAAAACCTCAGTGCTGTGTAACTGTCAAATCTTAGCATGCTGACAAACTTGCTGCAGGCTTTTTAAGGACAAGACACAGAGCCCAACTGGAGCTCCTAAATGTGGAGTCTCTCTCCAGAGGTAACCACTGCCCTGAATTACTGTTTCACATTCCCATGTGTGCTCTTATGTTTTTGTACTGCAGGAGCATGAACCCAGGACCTGTGCATACCAAACTACCACTAAGACACAGTCCAGTCCAATGTCTGGTTTTATTTCATTTTTATGTATTTGGTACAGGGTCTGCAGGGTCTACAGGGTCTCACTATGTAGATCAGACTTACAGTGATTCTCCTGTTGTCAGCCTCCGAAGCGCTAGGATTACAGCTGTGCACCACCATGCCCAGTCTTTTTATTTTTGGCATTTTATTTATTTATTTATTTATTTTGCAGTACCAGAGATCGAACTTGGGACCTTGCACTTGCCAGGCAGGCACTTATGCCAGTGAGCTATATCCTCTTTATTTATTTATTTATTTTGCAGTACCAGAGATCGAACTTGGGACCTTGCACTTGCCAGGCAGGCACTTATGCCAGTGAGCTATATCCTCTGCCCATCAGTCATTTTTTGTATTTATTTATTCATTTTAATGAGAAAAAAAGATAAAATAGCAGTGTAACAGTTTCAAAACAGGTTAGTATGACAGTTACAATAATTAATACATTGCATATTGTTGTCTTCCTAGTCTCAGCAGGCCCTGGAGGCAGGGCTGGCATGGCATGTCCCTGGCTGGTCCCCCTTTTTTTTCTTTGTGTGACCAGCTAAGACTGCCCTGGGGGCAGGGCTGGCGTGGCAAGTGGTGCTGGAATCGAATCCCGTCCCCCCTGCGCTTGCCTGAGCTTGTCTAAGCAAGTGCTTTAGACTGCTGAGCTATCTCTCCAGCTGTCTGTTTTTGTTTTGTTTTTTGACACATATACATATTTTGTTCCTGGCTTTGAATTTTGTCAATTTTTTTTTTTTTTTTGGTGGTACAGGCTGCTGAGCTAGCTCCCTGCACTTGTATTTTGTATGAACCACGCCATATTATTCTGTAACAAATTATGTGCCCAGGATGTCTCCATTTTAAAAACAAAGCTTGCAGTCATTCAGTGGAGGCAGTGGGAAGGGTGGCCCGTCCCAGCCCGTCTGGTCTCTCACTTGCTGGCCCGGCTGCACTGCAGCAGGAGTGTTTGCACCATCACCACGCCTCCTTCAGCTGTGCTCACTGGCGGGTGCCTCCGCCTCACACCCTGACAACTCCGGCGCAACAGACACCTCCCATCTCTAACACGGGAAGTCATGCCACCTAACAGCATAGGCATGTTCTCTCTCGTTCCCAGAGGGTTCTTGACGGCTCATGGTCCTTTCCTCCATGGTGTGGTTTGTTTTGTTGGTCATTTTGGCAGGCTTTCACTGTGCAGTGCAGGCTGGCCTTCACTGAACTCACTTTACAGCCCAGTCTGGCCTTAACCTTGCAGCAACCCTCCTACCTCGGCCTCCTGAGGGTTGGGATTACAGCTGTGCATGCCCAGCTTCCTCCATGTTCTTTAAGGTAAGATTAAAGGTCATAAAAAGTCCTACCGGAGTTTTCGCTGGAATTCTTTTGGACAGACTGATTCGAGGAGAACTGACAGGAGGTGAAAAGGTCCTCGTAACTGACTGTGATGGATAATCAGGCCACAGATGAGAGGAGAAGGGAAGCAGTGAAAAATCCAAATCTAAAGTCACAGCCCAACAGTGAGCAAATTTAAATGCGGCATGATTTTGACCAACTCCTGAGCATGAAAAGGGGGGCTCCACTCTACCTTAATGCTTGGGACACCAGAGGGGGATGACACAGGGTTAATGACATCGAATTACTATTTTTCTATATAAATGTTTTTCTTAGTTTTTTTTTTTTTTGTGTGTGTGTGTGTGAGACAGAGACTATGTAATACAGGCTACTCTGGAACTTGCTTACGTAGTCAAGGCTGGTCTTGAATTCACAGTGACACTCCTGCCTCAGCCTCCATGTGCTAGGATCTGTATACATTTAATTACATTATCTGATTCTTTGGTAACAGTGAAAATAACGCAATGTTTTAGATTACATATTTTAAAACAATCCATATATAGGATCTGGAAAACTGAACTGGCAACGAAACACAGAATACTAGTTTTATAAACTTGCAGTTGCAGTGTAAGGGAAGAAGAGTCATCACCTTATCTTTGCACATGGGCAGAGCTGAGGGATGTACAAACGACAGAACATGAGCTACAAGTTTACGCGCACTATTTTACATTATGAAACCAATAGAAGCATAAAAAGCCATCAAAAACTCGAGAGATGGTGAAAAAAGAGAAAAGAGGGACTAATACACATGGTCTAATGTCTCATGTTTCATAGCAATTAATACTAACTAAACTCAATGAGCCAAGAAACAGGTGTTTCCACTACATTTAGAGTGTAAGAAACTACTTTATGAACCAAAACAAAAAGAGCTGCTTTTGACTAAGTGTCAGGTAAGAATGAAGCAGGGCCCACTCACCATTCGTCCTTTCTTACCCGCTTCTTGGACTAGCTGGAGTTTTCAAGGGCTGGGTGGGGTGGCTCAGTTATATAGCATTTTCCCAGTGGGCCATGACAACACCCCCCCGAAGAGAAGAAAGAAATATAAAACCTAAAAGAACATTTATTATCATAAGCATAGAGTCATCCTCTTAGGTACTTATGGGACTCCTTCCCAATTCTCACTTCAGGGAAGAAGATTAGCTGCTTTTCTTTTTTGCGGTTGGGGGACAGGAGTGGTTCCCAGTGATTGAACCCAGGGCCTCAAACATGCTAGGACAGTGATCTACTGTAGGGCACATCCCGGGCCTCACCTTTGGCTTCTGTAAGTCTTTAACCCACTGGAAAGCCACGTGCGGGGCCATTCATAGGCTAAAGACACACAGACAGTGCTGGAGCTGGAACTCAACAGCAGAGCGCTGGCCTAGCATGCAGAAGGACCAATGCACGAACACATAAATGAACCAGGCAGACACGCAGGCACTTCATGGGAAGAGCCAGGTATGCCAAGAGTAAGCTGTCATGCAAGTCTTGAAATGTACTGAGCAACCTCTCACCACGGACATTACATGCTATCTCGAACAGTCCTGAGTAGGCCAGCGAGATAGCTCAGCAGACTAAGTGCCTGCTTAGGCAAGTGCAGGGACCTGGGTTCAATCCCTGGCACTACATACACCCCGCACTCCACCGAGACTAGGTGTGGTGATGCGTGCCTGTAATCCCAGCGCTGGGGAGGCTGACAATGGGAGGATCACTACAATTCTGAGCTGCACAGTGAGGCCCTGCACTAATTAAAAAAAAAAAAAAAAAGGTCTGAGTGACGACCTCCACACTGGAGTAAGGAATGGTAATGTGTACAGAAGTATTAACAAAAGAACAGGTGTAACAAGCCTGAATCTTGCTACCTGACAAACTGGAGCACCTAGCAATGAGACTTCCCGAGGGACCTGCTTCCACGACTTACCCTAACTCCGAATGCATCTTACCTAGAGAGACAAGAGTCTCATAATTGGTCCTCATGACACCCTTGTAAAGCTCCTTTTGCCATATCTCTAGGTCCTGCCATTCTTGCTCCGAGAAGTAAATGGCAACATCTTCAAAGGTCAGATGTAGCTGAAATCACAGACATAAATGTAGCTGTGACTGCTTCAAAATGCCTCTGGCTCATTCTCATCAATTTCAAGGCTTCTGTGATGGACAACTGCTTAGTCTGTTCAGCAGCCTCTTCCTAGGGAAGGACTCCTTGTCTTAGTCCAGTCATGGGGTTCTGCTGTTGATCCTTGCAGTCCCTTCCACATTGCTTTATACCTCTCTAAGCTATATATCCCTAGGCTTGGGATAGAACTTTTTCTTAAAAAAAAAAAAAAAAAAAAAAGAACACATCACCATGTGACTTTGTTCACTTTATATGTTGTGGCCATTTTCCAGGTCAGAACCAGGCAAGCTCATTTTGGATCAGCTGCATTCTACTGTATGACTACAGTCTTCCGAATGGGCACACCGATTGTTGATCACAGCCCTCTTCCTAAACTACACACACTTCTGTTTTAACAGTCTACTTTGTAGCATAAAGTCTAAAAAGGAGAACTAAAGGGCACACACATTTTCAGTTGTGTTTATTTTTTGAGGTGCTGGGGATTAAACCCAGGGCCTTGCACACACTAGGAAAGGGCTCTACCAGTGAGCTACACCCTCAACTCAATTTAGTATTTATTATGGTTGACTTGAAAAATTATTATTTGCTGAGGTTAATAAATCAGAATTATGTAAATTATGAATATTTAACTTAAAATACTATATTCCACATCTTATTGAATTGTATTTATTTTTTCCAGTACCAGGGATCGAACTCAGGACTGGGGATCTTGTACTTGTTAGGGAGGCGTTTATGGCCCTGAGCTATCCCAGGCCCTAATGTTTTCTTTCTTTCTTTCTTTTTAAATGTATTTAGTACAAGATCTACAGGGTCTCACTAAGTAGACCGGACTCATAGTGATTCTCCTGTTCTTGGCCTCCTAAACACTGGGATTACAAACTCTCAGTCTTAGTCCCCTCTCAGCATGCCCTGGGGGCAGGGACGGTATGGCACACCAGGATCAAACCCTGGCTGCTGCACTCTGCCTAAGCAGGCACTTTAGTCTGCTGTATCTGACCAGCCCCCTGCTTTAATTTCACTTTTTTTTTTTTTTACAGTAAGCGTCTACAATGTCTCACTACATAGCTCAGAATCATAGTAATCCACCCTGTACTCAGCGTCCCAAAGAGCTGGGATTACAGGTGTCGTGCTTTAATCCACTGAGTTATTTGGCTGGCCCTCATTTTAATTTCCATGTGTTCTTTTTTTTTTTTTTTTTTAAACTTTTTATTTATTTGTGTGTGTGTGTGGCCAGCTCAGCCCACCAGGGGGCGGGGCTGGCTGACATGTGGTGCTGGGGGATTGAACCGCAGTCCCTGTGCTTTGCTAAGCTTGTTCTAAGTAGGTGCTTTAGACCACTGAGCCATCTCGCCAGCCCTCCATGTGTTCTTCTCTATGGCTATTCATTTATTTTTGGTACGGGGAATCAAACTCAGGATCTCCTGCTTGCCATGCAGGCACTTACACCACTGAGCTACATCCCTGCCTACTATGTTCATCTTTTTGTTAATTTGCTTTTGTTACATTTGTTTTAGAATTGTGTATTTATTTTTGTCTTTTTGAGGCAGGGTCTCACTATACAGTTCAGGCTAGCCTTGAGCTTACTTTGTAGCTCATGCTGGTCTCAAAATCACAATGATCATCCTGCCTCAGCCTCCCAGGTGCTGGGATTACAGGCTAGAATTGAGCTTTTAAAACTATAATCATTCCTTTATATTTATATTGAGAATTCATTTTAATTTTGTGAAAGTCATTTCTGCTATAACATTACAAAAAAAAAAATTAATCTGTTCCATGACAGACCTATCAGGGAATTCATTTATGTCCGGTTTTGTCTGTGGCAAACATTAGGTCACTGGTTTTCAGTCAGGACAATTTTGTCTCTTGGAGCACATTAGGCAAAGTCTGGTGTCATTTCTGATGGGTGGAACTGGGGTGTGTGTGTGTGTGTGTGTGTGTGCTAGGGTCATCCGGCAGTGTCACCCGCTCAGGATCCTGCTAACCACAAAGAACAGGTCAGTCCTCACAGAGAAAACCTTCTGATACAAAATGTCAAGAATGGCAAGGGTGATGAGCAAAACCTTGAGCTGGGCAGGGCACCCAAAATGCTCAGACACACCCTTGACACATCCACTAGCTTCTCCACCTGACCTCAGACTCCCCAGTATAAAGAGCCCTGTCTAAACACATCTATCACAACTTTCTTTCTCATTTCACTACATGCACAAAACTGCTGTACGCACTGTATAGCGAGACCCTGTCTTTAAAAAAAGGGCAATTAAATTACAGAGTTCAGCACCCTTCTCGCCAATTCTGGCCACCCAGAGGGTGCGGGGTGGCATATCCGCGAAATTGGATTGTACACCCTAAGTTCACGATCCTAATTCACTTAACCAGCTAGAATGCTCAGGAGAAAGGTTAGAAAAACATGCCATGGTCTTC